GAGTAGCACACGTGGCAGGGGCTCAGAGAAGAGCGCAGGGAACCACTGACAGGGGATCACTTCCAGACCACAGGACTCTCAACATAAACACAAGTAGACAAAATTTACTAAAATCAGAGAGCAGTAATGTCGGGCAGTTAGAACCCCCCTTGCTCATCTACCCAAGGCGCTCAGCCACCAGAGGAGAGCTTCCTGGATCTGTGAATTGCTTGGTGGGGGGGGAGGGGGGGGCAGGGAGCAACAGGGTCATAATTCTAATAGACCAGACTGGGCCTGGGAAGAAGGAAAATAAATTGATTTGGCTCTCTGCCCAGGCCAGAAGACCCCCCAGTGGATACCCCACAGCCAGGGCTCCCCAACAGCAGGGACAACACAGCCTACTGAGCTACATGGGTGTATTCATAAGGACAGAGGGTATATATATACATATATACTACTTTACTTTTCTCTCCAAATGTAATTTATTTTCCAATCCCCTAACACACCATCTACCCAGAACAAAACTCCTGGGCAAAGCTTTGAGCATGAACAAACATACATTAACAGCGCTCCTGCGTCTTACTCTAGTATTATTTTTTCCTATTCCATTCCTAAAACTTTTGTCTCTTGCCCCCTCCTTTAATTGTCTTTCTTTAATCTGAATATCAAAAGTTTTACCACTTAACACTATTACCTCTTTTAGTTTCACTTTCCTTCTTGTCAAACCTTTTCTTTTCTTACGTCTGCATCCTCATAAAACCAAAAACTGACACTATTATTGCCTCTTTTCAAAGTTTTTTTCTATGAAATACAAGTACCTATTCCTCCATCATTGCAAATCATGCATTTGGGGGACCTAAACTCCCTCCCCTTCTTTTAATCTACCAAATACGACTACCAGACCCCTGACTTGGTCTGACCTACTGCTCCTTTTGCTCTCCCTCCCCTAGCACTGCCTCCCTCACTTTCATAGCACTCCTCCAACACCCAATCTAACACTCCCCTCACCCCAGATTCTTAATACAAGCTGTCCATCAGTCCTGCACTGCACCACCTACCAGAGTTAACCCCTGCCACATAGCACAACCTAACTACCACGCCTACCAGTGACTCCTGGATCAAATACCAACCAGATTTAAATGTAATGCCTGAAATTGAGCAGGCTATGGATTTACCAGAAAGATAATGTAAAAGAGCAAATATTGCATTCCTGCAACAGTTGAAGGAAGAGTCTGAGAGAAAAAGCGAAACAATAGAAAAGCTACTAAACTCACTAGAGAAACACAAAAATCAAACACTACAATAACAGAATTAAACAACACGATAAAGGAACAGCATGAGGTTATAAACAAACAGAGAAACAAAATCGAAGAGATGGAAACCCGTATCATGAATCTATAGATTCCGATATAAAAGAACAAATAGCAAAAAATGCAAAAGAGGCTGAGCAAAGTTCAAGAACAATGTGGACACAGTTTAGAGTAACAGCCCGCATTTTATAGGGATTCCAGAAGAGGAAGAAGCAAAACAATCCGCACAGAGAATTGTCCAAGAGATCCTGCAAGAGAACTTTCCGCAATGTCTACAAGAGGAAAAGATAGTTCTTCAGTGAGCCGAAAGAACCCCAGCCAGAAGATATGCCAAAAGGAAAACGTCCCAGCATATTATAGTCAAGATGTCGAACATCAACAACAAGGAAAATATTCTACGAGGAGTCAGATAAAAAAAGATCAACTACATACAAAGGGTCAGGAATTAGAATAACCTCAGATTTCTCAGCAGAAAACACGCAGGCGAGAATACAATGGAGTGACCTATACAGAGTACTAGAGGGGGGAAATTGTCAACCTAGACTCCTGTATCAGCAAAATTCTCAATCAAATAGGATGGTGAAATAAAGTATTCCAAGACAAGGAGAAGCTAAAAAGAACTTCAAAATCAAGAACACCATTAAACCAAAAATACTCAATGAAGTACTGTGGCCAAAAAAGCCAAAGCAACAACACTCAAACCTAAAACCAACATAGAAGACAATTGCTCACAAATAACAACACCCAAAGCAACGAAAAAATACTGGAAGAAAAGAGAAACTAGCCCAAATATGCTCACATATATAAAGCAGTGGACCCTGCCCACTTACATCAACCCAGTGCTCTCAGGAGACCATCATATTTTTCGACATGAAGACTCTTCATTCCAGCTGGAACCTGGTGAAGTCCGCATCCATAAGCAAGGTCAAATGAGGACGGGTCAGCAACAATATGCACCAGTTCTCAGGCTCAAAAATCTCTTCTTCTGGCTGGATCCTGGTCAACTCAATGTGCACTGCCTCACTTAGCCTCCCCAGGGTGCCCATTGGTCACCTTGCCTTTAGACCATGGGCTCTCACAAATACTCAACAAGCCTAGCCCCCTTGTGCTAGGTCATGAACTTTAGACCTGTTAACCCGCTCTCATCTTCTCCTCTTTTTCCTGTAAACTAAGTCCACAGGTGTCAGTGGCTGAACTCAATCCGTCTCTTTATTGCTGCATTTCTCTGACTTCTACTTCAACAAGTAGATCCAGGTGGTCACCTAGCAAGCATTTCAACCTGCCCACAGGCTCCCTTTAACGTTCAGTCCTAGAGCGGAGTTTTCTTCATGGTTCCAGATTTTTTCCAGCTTCTGACAAAACCACTGGTTCCTGAGTAAAAATAAAATTTTTTAAAAATTGGCAGTTGCAAATACACACATATCAATAATCTCACTGAATGTTAATGGACTAAATGCATCAGTAAATAGAGAATAGTACAGTAGATAACAACAACAACAACAACAAACCATCAATATGCTGCTTACAAGAAACACACCTCACAAGAGAGAGTGGAGCACATCCTGACCCGCCAAGCCTTGAGGATGATATTCCCGCCCAGAGCAGCCAATCCAGAAAAGACCATATGGCAAGCCCCTCTATGAGACACGATATCCCTCACTGACCCATAGCCCTACAGGGGACAACACTGGAGACACAGTCTGGGAATCCCGCCCGATCTGATCCCACCACACGGAGGCAAAACACTAAGGGCGTACAACAGAACAGCACTCCAAGGTAGAGGCGTAGAAAGCCTCATTGTGCTCCTGCAGAGCTGCTGCGGGGTTTGACCTGTTCGTGATTTGAAAGAACAAAGCTTAGGGATCTCACAGTTCAAGAGACCCGAGTCTGAATTCACCATGTGATTCCGGAAAGTGCTTCTTCGTCTACTTCAGCTGCGAGGAGACACTCTCCTTGGCACATCTGGACTTGTAGACACTACTGCCTCCATCATCTTGGTGTGAGAGGCCCTGTCTTTGCCTAATCGGTTATGTGTATGACTCAGACGTGAGTAAGGGACACCCCTACACTGCTGTGGCTTCATTCACATAACAAAAACCTGGCTGTCACTTCAGCTCTTGGTGACCCCCAGTAGCTCAGGGGTTACTAGACTGTCATCTTTACAGGAGCAGATGGACAGCACTTTCTTCTGAATCACCACTGGGTAGGTTTGAACCTTCAGCCTTTAGGCTAGTGAGCAACAGCAAACAATATAGCCAAAAAAAAAACCACACAACTATGTTAGGGTTCTCTAGAGAAACAAAACCAGAACGCTAATAATTAGATAGATGGATGATAGATAGATAGATAGATAGATAGATAGATAGATAGATAGATAGATAGATAGATAACATAAGAAATAAACAATTAATCTATAAAGCAGTACAAATGGCTCAGTGCAACTCACTCCCGTGAGACATTGGCAGCCTTTCAAGTCTTGAGGGCCGCCGGGCAGTCCTCTGCAGAGCAATTCAGGCTATCCGGCCACAGGCAGCAAACAGCAAGGCAGGTAGGTCACTAACAGCCAGATGACAGGGTCCGACAGTCCCCAGCTCAAGATCCCAATAGTGTGGCAAAGCAGGTCTTGAAGGAACCTCAAATTACAGCGACACAGTCCCTGGGTTAGATGTCCCACAGGTAGTGTAGCTTGCAAATTGAGACACAGAACAAGCAATGCAGTCACACACTGGTCCGATGACCAAAGAGCAAGAGACAAGAGAGGCGAGGCTCGCTGAGCCATTTATCTCTCTGTCCTTCAATTAATCCCACATGTGTTCATTGGCCATATTGGCACAAGAAACGTTAACTCTCTCAACAACCTTAACTCACTGGCATTCAATTCATCCCGATTCATAGTGACCCAAAGGACAGGGTAGAACCACCCCAGTGGCTTTCCAAGACTGTAATGCCTTACGGGAGTAGGAGGAAGGACTCTACCTCTTTTAAGGGGACATTTCAGTCCATCCCAGCGCCCATCACACCTGGCGACTTTGCATTGAGGTGCAGGCACAGCCCTCAAGGAACAAAGGGCAGGGACCCGCCCATTCAAACTCCTCCAGAGCTCTAGTCTGACTGACACAGGGTGTCCCAGGAGAACTTGGGGAGCCCAGGGGGGACCACCTCCCCCACACCCAAAGATAGGGTCTGACTGCACATCAGTTCAGCTTTCTGCCCCACCTGACCCTACCTTAGGAGGCAAAAGATGCGCACCCACAACTGCACAGCCCTGGACAGTTCCAGGAGGATGATTAAGTGCTGCCTAGAATCCAAGTCAAGAAATGATAACATTGGAAGAACCAACACGTCCCCCCACATCCACACACACACATTGCCTGCCCCACACATATCAACAGTATCAAAAAGGGGGGAAAGGGGAGGGTTTTTTGTTGTTGTTCTTTATGAGTGATGGTCATCATAATGCATGTTGTTTGAGGGGAGAAATTGCCTGTTTGCTTGAGGATCTTATTTAAAATATATATTGCATTATTATTATTATTATTATTATTATGTTTTTTGATGAGTTTTCAGAATCTTAACTAGCTAAGACGGCCAGCCTACGCCTCAGAGCTTCAGGAAGGAAAACTTGCTCTCCTGCCCTGAGAGCTTACTTGACACTCTAAGGCCAGGACACCCCACTGACCATCTCCTCTTTCCCTTGCAGTCTGTGTCCAGCCCACCAGAGCAAGCCAGCTTCCACACCGGTCACCTCAACTACCACCACTGCCGCCGCCACCCCTACCACCTGTGCCACCAGGAAGCTGGCCTGCACGATGTCCAGGTGACACCCTGCAGGTGCCCCTTATTCTCCTGCCAGTGGGAAGGCCATCTGGAGGTGGTGGTGCCCCACCTGAGCCAGACCCACCGGGTGGACATCCTCCAGGGAGCCGAGATTGTCTTCCTGGCCACGGACATGCACCTGCCAGCGCCGGCCGACTGGACCATGGTGCACTCGTGCCTGGGCCACCACTTTCTGCTGGTGCTGCGCAAACAGGAGCGGCACGAGGGGCACCCGCAGTTCTTTGCCACCATGCTGCTGATCGGGACCCCCACGCAGGCCGACTGCTTCACGTACCGCCTGGAGCTCAGCAGGAACCATCGGCGGCTGGCGTGGGAGGCCACCCCGCGCTCTGTCCTGGAGGGCGTGGACGCGGTCATCACCGACGGGGACTGCCTGGTGCTGAACCCCTCGCTGGCCCAGCTCTTCTCCGACAACGGCCGTCTGGCCATCGCCATCGCAGTCGCTGCAGCCAAGGTCCCGCCCGCAGAAGTGGCCGTGTGAGGGCACGGCCGCCCTTCTCAGACACTCAGCCTGTGCTCACAAGCCTGGACTCCAGACGACTCTTTCTCGTCGCTTTCCTCTCCCTTCTTGCCTGTCTGTGAGTCTCAGGTACTTTGAGACACCTCGTGTCTGTCTGCCCTGGGCACTGGATCATGGAACATCCTGGGGTGGGAGAGCGCGCCGTGACGGCGGTCCAGTGGGGTTGGTCGTTTCGTGGCACCTTGAAGGGATTTCATCAGAACCGTTCATTCCGCACATCACCACCTCCCTCCTCCCCAAACCCAAAATCCAAACCGGAGGTCGTGACCTCAGGGAGACGCCAAACGTGTCAGAATTGAACTGCGCCTCCCTGTCTCCAAGGGCTGCGACCCTTCAGGAGCGGTTCACATAGCGTTTGCCCAAAACACCTCTGGGTGAATGGGCACACCCATTTTGGTCAGCAGCCAAGCACTGAAGCATCTGTACCACCGGGCCCTTCCCCTCCCCCGCTGCTTCCCCAGGGAGCAGAAGCCCCTGGTAGCGTCCCAGGGAGACGTGTGCACCCACTCTTCTCAGTTGCACTCTCGTCCTACCTCCCACTGCCACCAAGTCCATTCCGACTCCCAGGGACACTTTATAGGGTTTGTGACGCTGCAAATCTTCACAGGGCCAGACAGCCTCACCCCTCCCTTGCAGAGCGGCTGGTGGGCATGCAATGCCAACCTAGGGTTAGCACTCCAAGTCTTAGGCAACAGCACCACAGACACCTTCAGTGGGGTTCAGAGTCAGGTAAACCTGAAAAACATGACGATGGGATTGGGGAAGGAGCCGGGCTAACTCAAAGATAATGTCACATTTCAAACCAAGCGGACACTTTCTGACAACTGCCAGGAGCCTCGGGTTCCAAGCTGAATCCATCCCAAAACAAGAAGTCTTCTTGCCAGGGCAGGGGCGGCCCTGGAGGAGCCCCCCCAAGACCAGCCCCCCAGTGGAGCCCAGGGCTCAGGAGTGACCAGACGCTGGCAGCTCTCCGGCAGGCTCCCCGGGTGTGTTCCAGCAGCGCCATCTCTGCGTGCTCCAGAATCCTCGTCCTCCGGGCATGGTCATTTCTTAACAACCCCCTAAAGCCTTCTTTTGAACAAGTAGGCAAAGGTTTACGCAAGATGGGGGCCGGAGACCAGGCGGGGGCAGATAGCAGAAGAATAAAGCATAACTCAGAGTTGGATGACCATGTTATGAAAATCTTTGATGCAGTCTTTCCACGGCAGTGGAGGGCTTTTAGATCACGGGCAAACCCAAATCTGTCCCTAATCCTTCACCAACCGGAACCCCCGCTTGGCAGCAAACAATGAACTCACACAGTCAGCCTGGTGTACATGGGAAGGTCTCCTTCCCTCCTGCGCATCCTCAGATGCCTTGAGGGCACCCTTCAGTACACTGTGGGCACCTTGGTCACCAGTCCACAGCGTGAATGAAAAGAAACGGAGAGCCTTCTTACGGCCTCTACGTGGGCTGTCAGCGCTTACTTGGTTGTCAAAGCAGTGCCCGGCCTCTTCTTTGTAAGAATCACTCACACTTTGGAGGAAATTGGGAAGCTGTTGCAACTATCTTATCTCTGTCAATGGGCTCCAGGCCTTCCTACGGGGATGTTTTCCCTCTGTCATTTTGTCCCTCCTCGTTGCCTGACCTCCGGACACTGTGGAAGGATAGCACCTGAGCTATCAGAGCGAAAGGGTCTGCAGCCAACGACATTATGCTTGTGTCCCGATCACTCCCCTCAGCCCTGCAGGGGAGCCCTGGCAGGCTGCCCACGGAGTCTTCGGTTGCAGGCAGGCTGCCCTGGCTAGCAATCAACAATTTTTCCTCTACCAAAAATAATTGTTCTTAAAACACTCTCCTCCCCGCAGCAACCAGTCGATTCTCCATCCGCCTTTACTGTCCCCTTACACTCCAATACCAGCAGGGCTGTAACACTGGGTGAAACACAACAAGCCGGGACTCCCCTCCAGCGCCTGGTATGTCAAAGTAGACCTGTGCTCCTCTGGGTCTTCAGGGGCAGATTTGGGGGAAGGAGATCACCAGGCTGTTCATCCGCAGCGCCTCTGGGTGGGCTCACACCTCCAGCCTTCTGGTAACAGTGGACCACGTTAACAGTCTGCAGCACTGGGGCCCTGATGGCAGAAGATTGAGTAACACAGACCCTTTCCGCACACAGTACACTCTGGACCCTGGGCCCCAGGACAATGCGTTGTTCTGCCAAAGCCCTGGGGGTAGCAATCCACATTGCACCACAGACTGAGGCCCAGGTCAGTTTCAGACATTCTGCGGAAAGGGCCATGACCTGCTTGTTCTTGCAGCTGTGTGAGCATCCCACGAGGGCACAAGGGCTGGCCCCACCGCTATCAATGGCCTGTCAGAGGCTAGCTCTGGTTAGCTCTGACTGAGACTGACTGATTTGACTCCTGGCTTTATCCACCCGCAGGCCCTTTCTGGACCCTAAGACCCCCTGAACTCTTATACCTCTGAAAGTCTCAGGTCCGCCAGTAGTTTCTGATACCCAACCACTTAGAGAACGCTTGGGTAACTTCACAGGCACCCAGAGAAAGAAGCAAAGCCTCAAGACGAATTAGCTATTGAACTAGCTCTTACAGAGATTCTATAAATCCACCCTTTGTCTTCTCACCTTGCCAAGTTACCGGAACCTACCTGGGGAAAACTGTAGGTTATTATTATTGTTGCACACAGGACTGTACTATGAATACGTGATTCCAGACAGGAAGTTACCATTGTTGGTTCCTTGAAGCCAAGGGGGTCTTAAAGGGTAGGAAATAGGTTGTTTTCTTCCCCTCATGGTGCTCCCCCAGAGGCCTTCAACTCCGTATCCACATGTGAGGGTTTGATGTGAAAGAAATGAGCCAAAAAGAGTACGTAGGAAATAGAAAATGAGAACGAGAAAGAGGTGTGTGGCGTGGAGTTTCATGTTTCACAACCAATATTGGTGGCCACGCCACATACGTCAGAGCAGAACCGTGCCATTTTTAATGTCTGATTTTTCTTAGAGGTCAATCGCCAAGACTTTCTCCTGAGGGGCCTCTGGGTGGATTCAAGCCACCAACCTTTTGGATAGCACCTGGCTGCACTAACCATTTACACCACCTAGGGACTCCACAGAACTCACAAAAGGCTCTCATCAGTAAGTCTCAGGTTAATCTCCATCATTAGCCTCAATATAATAAAAAGAACAGGTTCAGAGACATTAAAGGACTTGTCCAAGGTCCCACCTCAACTGGTTGGAAGTAGCTGTACAACTCAGGTCACCTGACTGCAAACTTGATGTTCAAAATAGGAAGGTGCTATTGTTGTTGTTGTCTAGTCAATTCCAACTCATAGCGACCCTATAGGAGAAAGGGAATTGCCCCATTGTGCTTCTTAGGCTGTGATCTCTACAGGAGCAGGCCACCAGAGCTTTTCTCCCGTGGAGCCACTGGGAGGGCTTGAACTGCCAACCCTTTGACTAGCAGCTGAGCTCTTAACCATTTTTCACCAAGTCTCCTTTATACCCAAACTCCAAACTCAATGTCATCAAATAGATTCTGAGAGTCCTAGTAGCCCTGTAAGTCAGGGTAGTTAGTACTGCCCCTGTGGGTTTCTGAGACCCTAACCCTTCCCAGGAGTAGAAAGTCTCATCTTTCTCCTGCAGAGGAGCTGCTAGTTTCAAACTGCTGAACTTGCCGGTAGCAGCCCAATGTGTAGCCCACTACATCAGCCAGGCTCCCAACCAGGAAATTTGAATATTCAGCAAGCTTTCCATCCTACGAGGGGACTGTGGGCCTAAAAATCCACTATCTCTTAGTCCTGCTATACCTAGGGGAACAGAGACCCTGAAATGGATATACTTTGAAAGAGATCTCTGCTTGAAGAATCTGGAAGTAGTCAGGCCACAGGTGGCGTGGCGGTGGGCACCCAGAGTCTCTGGCTCCTGATTCACCTCTGTATCCTCTCACCCACTCCTAGGCTTCCTCGGAGCCCCTAAACACCAAGGTGCTAGACTTATGACACCTCATTGGTAGTTATGGCAGAAAAATTTGAGCAACCCTCTTGCAGCTGAGCCTTCCGAGGTGGTGAATGCTGAAATAGAGGTCAGGCCACACAAAGAACTGAGTCCAGAACCTCCCTTTCCTGCCCTGGCTGCCTCACGACAGCCAAAGAAGGACCCTGGCCACCGTGACAAAGCGGCCGACACTGCTGCGTTCCTCCTTTCTAAGCAAAAGGAGGCTTTTCATTAAGATAAAGTCAGGAGAAACGCCAACCCGAGGGTCTGAAGGAGGCAGAATGTGGGAATCTAACGGCGAATCCATGAATCTGTCATTCTGATCACAGAGCAGGGCATAGGAATGGAAGAGTGGGACCTACTGAAGCTTCTACTTGACCTAACCCCTAGGAGAGTGTGAAAGGGTCATGTTTTGATTATAGTAGCATCAAACGTCTCCTATTCAGATTGGTGCCATCAACCAATTGCGATCAAGCTGATTACAACTCCTGGTGCCTCCAACTGTGTCAGGGTAGGGCTGTGCTTTTCAGTGGCAGCGCTTTGGGGAAGTGGGTCACCAGGCCTTTCTGCCAAGGTGTCTGGGAGTATACTTGACCTCCACATCCTTGGTGAGCCACCAAGCATGTCAACTACTTGTTTCACGCAGGTCCTCCATGTATGATCTGTTCCACAAGTTTGCTGCAAGAGTTGGCAAACCTCCCTCCAGGTGTGAACCTGGAGAATAGTCAGCTAAGAAAACTGCACTGAAAGGAGCTTGCTGGTGACTCAGCACTGCTCTCCCCAACAATCAAGTTAGCGCGCGAGTGACTTATGTGGGTCAGTCTGCCTCCTCCAGGGTTGTCTTGAAAATAGTTCACCTGGAGGGCTAGACTGTAAACAATGCCTGCCCTTTCAGCCTTCCTCTAGCGAATTCAGATAAGAAAGAAAAGGAAATGGAGAGGCATTTTGTACACTCTGGTTGATGTATATATGTTTCCTATGACATTAAAGACACAATGAAAGAAGAACTTGGAATGTGACTTTATCTCTGCCCTGTCTCCTATGGAAAACGTCATTAAATTGCATTTGATATAATTTCCTTGAGCCTTTGGAGTTGTTTTCTGTTTTGTTCTGTTTTTGTTGTTTTTTTCTTTTTTGCTGTTTTCCCCACGCCCCAAGGACTCATGTGCAACAGGAGGGAACAGAAACGCGTGAGTCTCAGAAATTCACCAGATGCCACATTTGACGGGTGTCTCATTATCTTCCTCTCCACTTCATTTTTGTCTCCATTTCAAGCCATAATTGGCTATAAGGAAAAAGTGCTACCGGAGGTGGATAAAAGCCCTCGAATCTAATTTGCTGCCAGTACTTATTTTAGCATACGGTGCTGCCCTAAGAAAAGGGAGAAAAAACAGCAGTCTGGCTAGATCCCCGTGTTACACAGGGTTCTCTAGAGAAACAAAACCAGAACACTAATAATTTTATATATATTTATACAGATAGATATATAATATAAGAAATAAACAATTAAATTATAAAGCAGTACAAATGGCTCAGTGCAACTCACTCCCATGAGACAGTTGTGAGACACTGGCAGTCCTTCAAGTCTTGAGGGCACAGGTCTATCTGGGCACAGGCAGCAAACAGCAAGCAGGTCACCAACAATCAGCCAGATGACAGGGACTGACAGTCCCCAGCTCAAGAAATGTAAATCCCAATGGTGTGGCGAAACAGGTCTTAAAGGAACCTCAAATTACAGCCACAGTCCATGGGTTAGGTGTCCCACAGGTAGTGTAGCTTGAAAATTGAGGCAAAGAACAAGCAAAGCAGCTGCACACTGGTCTGATGATCAAAGAGCAAGAGACAAGAAAGACAAGGCTCACCGAGCCATTTATCTCTCTGCCCTTCAATTAATCCCACATGTGTTTATCGGCCAGGTTGGCACAATAAACTAACTACCCTGTTTCCCCGAAAGTAAGACATTCCCCCAAAATAAAACCTACTTAAAGTTTTGCCTCTCGCTGAAATATAAGGCATCCCCCAGAAAATAAGACCTCCCCAAAAATAAGGCCCCCCAAAGCTACCGTAACTCTGGACCTTAGTGGCGTGTGCTGCCGTGAAGCTCACTGTTGGCCGCAGCACAGCCGGAACAGACAGGAAGTGCGAGGTCTCTTTTAATAAAAGAATAAACAGTAAATGTGTACCATATTCTTCTTCATGGAAAAATAAGACATCCCCTGAAAATAAGACCTAGCACATCTTTGGGAGCAAAAATTAATATAAGACCCTGTCTTATTTTCGGGGAAACAGGGTACCTCAGTCCCCAAAGAAGAAACAGCAAACACTTTCCCCGCCCATGCTCCGAGTTCTTTATTTTGCTCTCCCCTGCCTTTGCCTGAAAAGGGGGCCCTGAAATTCACTTTGGGGTCTACCAGATCAGTTGTCAAGGAAGGCTTCATGGTTTAATTCTTTAATATCAGCCCACTGTTAGTTACTTGCAAAAATCAGGATGAGCAAGCGTTCTAATCCTTTTGCCTGTCAATTCATTTAAACCTCAGTCTTCTTCCCTGCTTCCTTGTGTTCCCGGAATCTGTTTCCTACGCTCACAAAGTTCCCTGAATTGATCGGAATGATCAAAACCAGCTGCATGGCCAGCATGAATATTCATGAGCCAGGGACTCTTTGGGTCACATCCCATCTTGGGGTCATTTTGCACCCCCACAGTGTTCCAGATGGTCAGCTTTCCCCTCAACAGACCCTCAAAGGCCAGCAGTAGGGCTGGTTGGAAAGATGATCCCTCTCCCTGAAATTCAGCCCAAGGGAGGGAGGGAAACTCAGTCCTACCCTATCCTTGGACCTAGTGTTTCCAAAATTTAATTTGCTGAAGAGTTACCCAGAGGACTTGATTTCTAGACCCCAGAAGCAATGAAACACAAAGACCTTTCTGGTCTTCTCTGTTTTCAACCAAGATCCGTCTGACACCAGCATTGATATCTCTCATTCCATGTCGTCATCTGAATCCAGCCTAAATCGATGGCATTTCCCTGTCAAGGTACTGCTGAAGCCATTGTTGGATGACCTTCAGCATGGATTGGATCCACAATCAATGGATGTAGCAGTCAAGAGACCTAATATCATCTTACATTGGGCAGATCGGCTGCACAAGACTTCTTTTAAGTGTTGAAAAGCAAGGATGTCAGTTTGAGGAGTAAAGTGCACCTGACCCAAGCCATAATATCTTCAATTGCCTCCTATGCATGTGAAAGTTGGGCATGGAATAAGGAAAACCAAAGAAGAGTCAATGCATTTGAATTATGCTATTGGCAAAGAACACTGGAAGTACCCCGGACTGCCAAAAGAACAAACAAGTCTGTCTTGGATGGAGTACAACCCAAATGCTCCTTTGAGGCAAAGATGGTGAGACTTCGTCTCATCTACTTTGGATACAGTATCAAGAGAGACCAGTCCCTAGAGGAGGTCATCATTCTCGGAAAAGCAGAAGGATAGCAAAAAAGGGAAGACTTCACTAGTGGGCTCAAATATAAGAACAATTATGAGGATGGTGCAGGCAGGACCAGTGGTGTTTCGCTCTCTTCCGCGTAGGGTCACTCTGGGTCAGGACCGACTGGGCAACGCCTAACAGAGAAAACAGAATCATGCTGAGCAGCTTTCAGGGGACCTTCCAGGTTCAGATGGACTCGTAAGAAAGGCCTGGAGGTATGTGCTTCTGAAAATCAGCCAGTAAAACCCTCATGGTTCACAGTGGTCAGATCCCATGGTGAACGCCCTCACCACCGTCCAACAGCAGCTGACAACGACAAAGAGAGCCGGTGCTTCCAACAGAGGGAGGAAGTCTGGACAGGGTGCAATGGGAGTGGACCACAGCTACATTCTGAGGGGAAACCAGAGAGCCTTAAATGGATCCCAAAAGTATGGGATTGTTTGCTGCCCATCAGTTCCAACTCACCGTGACCGACCTCTATTGGAACGGATTGCCGGGTCCAGTGTCTCAGCTGGTAGTTTCCCCTTTTTAATTAGCAGCCAAGTGCTTAAGCACTGCGCCACCAGGGCTCCTTCCTTAAAGTATTCCTGGTGCCATCAAGTCCGCTCTAACTCACGTAGACCACACAGGCCAGTGTGGAACTGCCTCATAGGGCTTCCTGGACTGCACTCCTCACAGGAGCGGATTGCACGTCTTGTCTCCTACACAGCACCTGATGGGTTCAAATCTCTGACCTTTTGGTTAGCAACTGACCACTTCACTCCTGTGCCTCCGGTCCCTTTTCCAGGCTAGTCTCAGGGCACTAGGCAAGTGTACCCTGGAAGCCAGCACTATAGGGAACTCTGGCCTGTGTGGAAGGGGTCCAGGGGCTTGTACGCCAAGATAAATGATGTGGAATGCCTGGTATGGAAGGCTGAGTGTCTTCACACAGCCTGAGGCTGAGGAAGTACATAAATCAGCACAGAAGGGGCCCCTCCTGTAAATCCTTGCCTAGTCTGGCTGCTAATTCATATTTAAAATCTCTCCCCAAGTCCTGACAGGGAGCTACCCAGCAAATCCCCACGCAGGCATTTCTTCATCCTGCAAGTCACCCGCTGTCCAGTCTGCACTGGGTCACCAACTCTGGGCACCTCTACTGGGACATGAATTATCAGCCCACTGTCCTTAGCAGC